GGCTGGGAAATTCCTTTTTTTTTTAACCTGAAGCAATTTGCTAGGATTCTTTTATTACCCATGTGGATAAAGAATATCAAGATTTGTATATGCTCCAAGTGTATGTACACTGGGTACAGTCACTATTTTTTTTAGTTTTCATTCATAAATCACTCCCTATTTTGTTTGTTTTTGTTCAGGAATTTTCAGATATAACAATAGATCATGGTCTGCAAACCATGATTTGGCCAAAGCCCGGTTTATTGCTATGTATCATTAAACCGGAATATCAGACTTTGGTTTGAAGGTGGTTTGCAAATCTCAGTTTTGGAAAACTGCCTCTCATTCTGTTTGAATTACCAAGCTGTGGTTTGAGATGGCAGTCCATTCTTTTTGGAATAGCTTCAGAAATTCTGGTAATAGGTGTCCAAGGAGTGTAAGCCATATGCTGTATGCACAAAATATGGTTTGTCATTATATCAGAATGATACGTTTATCTTGGCTTTTAGATCAGTTGAGAATAGACTCTTGCAGGGGAAATGAACACAACATAGGGTATCCACCCATGTGCAATGATGTGACACTCAGGCAGTGGTCATGGTACTAAGAATGGGGAAAGGGGTTGGAATTCTGTATTTTTATATGTGAAATTGTTGGGTGTTACAAGTTAAAACACTTCAGTATTTACAGGGTTAATGATGTTTGTTAAGTCACATGTTTGTAACCAATCTGTTTAGACAATAGGATGCCCGGGAACTTTGGAGCTAGTTTGCTACTCTGATTGGAAACCAAGGTGTCAAGTATTAGCATTTTATGGTTTCTCTTCCCGTTCTTTGTTCTGACTAGAGAAGGAGACGCTATTCCGGCCCTTCCCGTTTTACCTTTAGCTGCAAGGATGTAGGCATATAAGCTCTTTGTTATTTTCATATCCTGTGTACCTTTTCCCCATGTTAGGTTTATAGTAAACTTTTATATTTTAATCACACCATGGACTCAGTCTCTTAATACTCTGCTGACTTACTCAAAAAGAATCCCAACAGAAATGCTAAACAGTATCCCTTTGCTGTCTAATTCTAATTATATTTACGTAGAATCAGGGCACAATGATTTCAGTGACATTTCCATAAAAATTGTTAGGATCAGGCTGTTGCTGTAGGGCACAATGATTTCAGTGACATTTCCATACAAGTAAAAATGGTTAGGATCAAGCTGTTGCTGTGGAAAGTCTCAACTGCTACAAAAACCCTACCAGATCAAATATGGAAGTCTCCCCTACTTTTGTGCATTCATCCAGCTTTAATGGAGAGATGAAATGTCATCACATATACAGCGGCTGAGTGGCGTGTGATATGGAGGGATTTCTCAGGCCAGAGTTGAATTAGCTTACGCTTTCCAGGCTTGTGTGCGCACGCATTGAATTAGCTTACGCTTTCCAGGCTTGTGCGCGCGCGTGTGTGTGTGAAACAACAGAGCTCAGAAACATTAACATTTATTTTGTTAGCTTCTGATTGGCTGCAAGTGGTCACATGGCAGCTTCCCAGCCCTATAAGAGCTTTCTGTGCTGTTCTCAGCCTTTTGGTCTTGGTAACCCAAGAACTTCTGCAATCTTCTTGGCTTATGATGCCAGCTTGCCATACTCTTTCTTCCTTTGCCCTGTCCTACCTCACCTTGTTTCCTTCCCTCCTCTCCCTCTGAATTGATTTTACTGGGATTTGCCCTTGCCTTCCAGCTCAAGGATCAACCCAGAGTATATGACTTCTCAGACTAAAAATCATCTTACTTCCCTTGCAAGCCCCTAACGGGAGCAGGATCTGCCAATAAAAAGGTTTTATCCCTTTCACGTTCATTTATGTGACCTCAAAACAAAAATCGGGGGACGCAGCACATGCACAGCACAAACAAACCCCCCCAGTAAATGAAGAGCAAGCTGAAGCCCTTGCTTTGTTCCTACATATGGCAACTGCAAACTCCCCACAGATGGCTTAATTTGCAACAGCGTTACTATCTCTAGTGCTTCATCCATGTTCCTCCTCCTTGCAGTAAGTTATTTCTTTCCCATAATTGTTTCAATATTTGATTGAAGAAAGTTTAACTTTGCAACCTTTCAGGAAGCGTCATTTTGTAATTATATGTGTGTCGATACTAGTTTCACAGTTAAAGATGTTGATATTTCTTTAGCTTTCTCTTGGCATTTCAGTTCCAATATTCATGTTTTAGCTTTTGGGGACACCAGTGTTATCCTTGCTGCACCTTATGACAAGAAGAGGGTCCTAAGCTGCCATTTCAATATGAATGAGGAGAATGACAGGCTCTCCCCTCGGCTGCTTGTAACCCTATGAGCAAACTTACATGAGTGCATTGTTTCCATTGGCTGCTAGCCCTTATGAAGTGCTTTACATTTTCAGAGTGCGTTTATGGCACCGGCTTATTAAGCAACTTTTATTCAAGGTATAGGCTAGTATGTACTATGTAATGTGTGTCTTAAACTCAAATGTTAAAAAGGCTCAAATGTAAGAAAGAAATTAAAATCAGGTGGGATATGTGCAGATCTATGTATACATTTATTATTAATACAGGTGCTTTCCTGATTTCCCATAAAAATTCTCCATGCTTTTAACTTTAAAAAACCTTTATTAGTGTTTGGGGGAGTATAAACACCGCCTAAATGTGTCCCAGTAATATACTGTAAACTTTATGCACACACACACACACACACTCAGAAGAATATCCCTGGAATAAAGCACAAAAAGACCACCTCTATAATTTTTCTTACAGTGGACATTGAAAAGAAGGAATGAAGCAAAATGTTTATTCACACAATGATTGTAAACAGCAAATGCTACAGTCGAAGGCCCCAGTCCTTTAATCAATTATATGCATGAGCAATTTTGCCTCACCATTCAGCCTCAATGCATAAATGTTTGCAGGATCGTGTTCTTAAGACCCCTTCAATTAAACCCTTACGGGATAATAGCCTGCATTTGAGACACCAGCTTGTACTGACATGACAGGCAGGGGAAAAGAAACAAACAACAATAATTAGTTGTTCATTTTGATATACTTGTTATCTCCTCAGAGGAATAAAGAGTGTACTAATAATTTCCAGGGTCATTAGATAAAAGTTGGCAAGTTCATCAATGTGTCCTGTTCCTAAACAAGTTTGCAGAGGCACAGAAGGCTTATACTTTCACCAATGTTTGTGGGTCCATTTTGAGATTTACACTAAACACGTATTGTGTTGGAATATGCTGTATCTACAAGACACATACTGAGGAGAGTTCCCTCTACAATAAACATCAGTTGTTCCTAAATTCTTGTAATTTCTTAGCAGAAATTCCACACAGTAAGAGTCTCAATGTGAAATCCATAAAATCCATAAAAGGAGATCTACCACTGAAATGCTAGGATAAATGGCTGGTTTGCATTGCCCCTGGTCTTTATCCAACACTGAGAATAGACTGCTGTTTTATCAAAAGAGGAATAAATTGCTGTTATTGTGATGTTAGCCCATCACTTGGCATTGCAATTCAGGTTTTTGTGAGAAAGAAATGTATGATCTAACTGCGACTTGACCCATGCCTTCTGAGATCCATATAGGTGCTCTAATGGAGCATAAAAAGTGTTGAATACAAGGACATGCAAACTGGTGGTGAAGAAATGCATCAGAGGAGAGCAGTGAAGGGAACAGGACTTTTGTGTACAACTCAATCTGTTAAATCAGAGAGGAAAAGCAACACTCCAAAGGTAAGTATTTTAATGTGTTTCATCAACCAGTTTCACAATGGACTGCATTTGTCTGTGATATCATCAGGATTCCTTTTTAAAAATATATTGGGTGGGGATAGGGTTTAGAATTTTTCAAATCCAGGTCGCCAGCATCTTAAATCATTGAGAGAACAAACCCAAACAGTTTTGTCCCATTTGTTACTATTGTTTCTGGTAAGTAAACATTCACCCATTATGTGAAGCACTGGTTAAAACAAGATGTTGGAACATTAATTTTGAGGGTGGGGGTTGTGTGCCTCCATGAGGGAAGAAAATCCCTCGCAATTGCAGTAGCACTGAGACTTTCTCAGGCAAAGATCTATTTTTAACAAGAGATCTGTGGAACAGTTGCAATTAGATTTCAGCACTGATAAAGGCTCACTTTTCATTCATAGCCACAGTGCTCTTCTTGTACCTAAACAGATAATAAGTACTCAGCACACTCCCCCTTCTTGACACAACACACTGAGACTAATCACACATAATTGGAGAGGAGGAGCAGAGGGCTGGCCAAGCCATTGTGTCCAGAGGACAAATGGTCAGTTTATGAGGCTTTGGTTTGAGGCAGTAATTTCTTATACATCTACAGGGTGAGAACAAAAAAAAAATCCCGTTGTCAAAAAACGTTAAGTAATCAAGCAAAGCAAGTTTGAAACGTTTTGCAAGGGGGGGAGGGAGGAAAAGCCATAAGGCAAATTTCGGGAATTGCAAAGGAGAGAGGGAAATAATGAAAATATAGCATGATCTGCATATAGAATGCAAAGAGATGTGTACAATGCCCCCAAATTATCAGCTTCTCTCTTTTTTTCACTTACTAGAACAAGAAATCCTCTAGCGTTTTACAGATGGTCAAACACAGCCACAAAACAGATGCATTCAAATGTAATCGCAGAAGCACTCTTTGTCAAGATGAAGCAACTGGGTGCATGATGGAAGTCTGGGGGGGGGAGAAATTGAGCTCTTAAAGGCTTCGTCGCATTGGACTGGCTTTTAAAGAAAAAACTAGGGAGGAAGTTCTAAGAATTATATATTTACTATACAGTTCCAGGGTTTCTTGTTTCAACAAACTGGGGTTGCTTTTTCATGTAGTTAACAATTTTTTCTTTGTAATCAAAATATATCTTCCACATATTTTATGCATGCTTGGTTAAAGTAAGAAGGAATGGGTAGTGGAGATTTTCATCATAAATCTCTCTTTCTTCTTTTTTCAACTGTGAATGACACAAAACAAAACAAAGAAAAGCACCATTAATACATTGTCATGGCAAGGACACAAAACAGTCTTAATTAAACTCTTGAAGGGAATAAATCGTATAAAAGATTAAATTGCTTGTAGCAACAGTTATAGTTAAGTGTCAGATAGTATACCACAATTAAGGGATGGTTAGTAGTTTTGTAAATTCATTTCTCTCCAGTTGTATAATATTCAAAGGGAATATGTGTGCAATACAGTGAATTAAAGTATATTCCAGTTAGGGTCTGGTTAAAATGTATGAATGCATGAAAGCTAAAACCCCGTATCCAAAGTGTAGGACTTCCAACATAGTAAATATTACATTAAAGATGGCCAGATGACTGTAATACTGAAACCATTCCGAAGGACCCTCTGGGGATTTCATATATTAATAAAATGAAATTCAATTCTTTTAATATAGAAGTATTTGAAGCCCATTCTTGGCTTCTAGAATTAAGGTTATATGAAACTCATCAATTGACACACAATATAAAATTAATTTTTTTAAAATTAAATATGCATTAAATAGAAAAATATAATTCATCCAAGAATTAAATTTGGAATGTATTTTCCTATTGGTATAAACTAGATTTAGGCAGCAATCCAAATCAGTTTGAAGTTTCCTGCATAATTAACATCCTTCACTGAAGCAATTTTCTTTGCAAAATAATGAAATATATAGATCAAGTGGAGAAAAAAACAAATATAAAACATACTAGGGAAGAGGTTAATAGGTGCTGATGTTTACTATTCAGATATGTTTCTTCCCTCCTCTGCGGTATGAGTTACAGATGTCAGCTGATCCGTGCCACAATAATTATTACTAATATGGTTGTTTTCCATGTCCTGTTCTTTGACTACCGAGTATAACCTACCATCTAGGAGCATGATGCCTTTCATTTTTTTCATAGCATTAATTTACTTTAAAATTCTAATCCACTTTACTAAAGATGTTCAAAATTAACCAAAGGAATGACAATCGGCACTTGTCATATCTTTCACTCTAGTACAGAGGAAATTCTGTCTGGATAAGATTATTCCTCAGCTTTAAAGGTACCACTCCGCATTTTAAGCTAGTAAACCAGATATCTGATGTTGTATCCCACAAACTCTTCTTTTCAAGAACCAGCACATTTTATTTTAAAATGACAAAAAAGGACCCCAAAACACCTTGAATATTTCTTGTGGATGAACATTTATGGGACTTATGCCAGAATAAACTATGGTCTTAAGGAGTGAAACCTTTTTTGTTTCTAGAATCTAACATTCCTACTTCCCCCCCTTTTTAATTTAGAAACATTTCCTAATTTAAAAAAATAAATACAAGTGGAATGAAACACTTCAATTAAAAGCTTTCCTCTATTGCACTTTGTAATCTGTTTGCTGGCATGGAAATGAAGAACCCATGTACATATGCATATTTTATTGGCGAAAGTTATTTTCTTGAAGAATAAACTGATGGGCATTCCTATTGTCAGCCCTAATGCTATGCTACAGTTTGGGTCGACTGCCACACTAACCCAACAAATGTACTGCAAACTCTCTAAAGTAAACCCATAGCAGAAATTGTTTTTGCTTAGGGCTGTGGCAGATCTGATATGCCCCCTTGCCTCTTTTAACCTGAATTCTCTAGTGACCTCTGGCGGCCAGCACAAAGTATCCATTACAGAATTTAAGCACAATCTCAGCTGCAGCCACACCATTCCAGATTAGCAGGGGGATGTTAAACAAATAAAGAAATGCCACAAAGCCATGTATTACTGCAACCTGTTATCCAGCTATAAGTGCATTGGAAACATAACATTATTGTACTCATATATGCATACAGATCCATTTGCAAACAGCGCATACATTCCAGACTGGAATATTATGCAGTGTTATTGCACACATCAAGCTTGCACTTCTGAGCCCAATTAATGATTGTTATTTTGTGAAATGAAAAAAAAAATCCCTCATAAACCTGCCTTTTGAAACCCATGAACATCGAAAAGCAAATTGTGAATAAAACAATTTTTCAATTTTGCAGGCAAGGGGGAGGGAGGAGAAGAGCGAGAGAGGCCTATGAGGACTGAAATAAATTATATGGCTGCTCTTAGTAGCATTATGCTTTACCTCCTAATTGGATGTAACACACTCAGACCCACGGGGTGAACAGCAGCAGCAGGAGAGGAATTCATACTGTTTACCCTTTACAGTAGCCACAATTATCAACAGCACACCGTACAGATTATAAGCACCAGCCACTCATAATGTGGCATTTCAAACAGATAAGGGGAAAGGCAATATGACCATTCTTTTGACATAACATCTAGAGCTCATATCATAGTTGTCCTTAACAAACAAACAAAATCACACACACACAACCACCACCCTAATTTATTTTAATATTATTAAAATATAAATCAGTCATGTGTGAATATTTATATATTTATTATTTCCATGGAGGAGGAACATGTTTCTTAGGCTTTAATGAAAAGTGTATACAGTTCAGCCTGCGCAAAAGTAGATTCAAATATATATTTGCAAAGAAAGCAAATCAAGCTTGTATATTTTGACAGAATAAAACAATTGTGTGCTTAATATTGAAGGTTTAGTGTATTATCAGCTGGGTAACATAAATGTAAAAAAGAGAGGAAAACAACAGTTACTATCAAGTGTGTGTGCGTGTGTGTTTAAAAAGAAACCACCACTATCACATTTTTAAAAATATATCCTAAACTTTCTGCTGCTTTACATCTGACCAAGGGCAATTCCATGATGTGGGTACGATTTTAAACAAAAGCCCTGGCATACAGTGTAGGAAGGCCCAGTTTTGATTACAGGCTTGCTTTTGAACGGAAATAAAATTTCACAGCTAACAATGAGAGGTGAAAAGTTTAAGAGGCAAAGCTGTTCCTCCTGATCACTGACTGTTAATCAGCTTCATGGGTGGTTGCCTAAATCTTTGGATTTTTTTTTTGTGTGTGTGTCTGTATGTGTGTGCTACTTGCACTACTGCCAAGACTGTAACTCATTTTTTCCCCTGTTGTTGGAGGTGGGGTGAACAACTCCCCATAGAAGGCAGCTGTGTATGAGTGACATGAGGCACTAATGCAGAGGGCAAAATTAAAATTCATGAATCTCTCCACAACCATTTGTGTAACAAGATTAAGACGGGACAGCAGAAAATAGCTGCATTATCAGGCTTCTTACAGTTCTCCAGCTGGTTACGCTCTATTCCAAAACAGTAGGGATAAGAGGATAACATGAAGCCGAAAGGAAAACGCCTCTCCTTCATTTGGGGAAGCAAACGCATCCCGGGAAGAGACGAGGTTTGGGAAACGACATATAGCATGAAAAAAAGAATTCCCGCTTAACGTGTAAACTTTTCATAGCAGGATTTGCAGCAACCACTAACCGAAAAAAAAAGTTAAAAGTTCCAGCAAGCCACAATGCTATTGTAATTTTTTGATTCTGAAAACTAGATCTATTTTTCTTGCAAAAAAAGAAGAAAAATAAGAGAATATATGTTAATTAGGAAAACATTAAATAATGAACTAACTTCGTCCAGGATGTTTTGAGGCAATATTGCAGGGGAAATAGACTCAATTAGATTTTTGCAGAGAAGGGCAGAGAGCATAATCACAGACTATGGGATTATTAAAAACAATGAATCTCTGTCATTAATTGCCAGACCCGCGGTGGAGACAGGGGTCCCCTGCTGCCAAGCCCCACCACGCCGGCACAGATTAGCTGGCCAGCAGGGGGGAACATACCCTGACAAAGTGGGAGATTCATCAGATATTCAGCAGTGTGTACATCACTGCCTATGTGAGCCGGAAGTGACATAATCACATCTGGTCATCGAGGTGATGCTCTGGTATTTGGGCAAAAACTCTATGGTAGAAGCCAAATTTACCATGGAGTTTTTGCCTAAATACCAGAGTGTTGCCCCAACATCCTGGAAGTGATGACACCACTTCTGGGTCATGTGGTCAGTGACATAGACACGACACTGCATGTTGGATGGGCCTCCCTGCTGCTCCTGGTAAGTACCCCCATCCCCTGTCAGTTGCCAGGAGGGACCTGGCAAACTTAGCCATTAGGCTGGTTTTCTGTGCATAATGTATAATGAGCTCTACTGTTTCCTGAAAGACTTATATCCTTGTTTCCTATAGGCAGTGAGCTAAAATGAGCCTCTGCCTGTGTGTTTTACAGGGCCATCCTAAGCAGATATACTTAGAATCTTACTCAGGCCTGTTCAATGGGGCTTATTTACAGCAAAGAGTTCTCAGGATTGCACTGTTAGTCTACTCTCTCAGCCACCATGTTTTCTCACAATATTACACATGCATATGCAGTATCACCAAGAAACCTATGTAGCTAAGGCCAGAAGCCTGGAAGTAGCAAGTATACCACAGAGGTGACAATCCCAGGAGGTAGGTCATCAGGTGAAATTGGTCCAACCATCTCTTTTATTGAACACCACTGACATATTTGAGAAGGAACAATTAAGCAAGCAGAAAGGACTAGATTATAAGCATGTAGTAGATAACTCAATGAAAATGTCTCGACAGTGTGCAATTGCAATAAAAAAGGCCAACACTATGCTGGGGATTATTAGGAAGGGAATTCAAAACAAATCAGCCAGTATCATAATGTCCCTGTATAAATCAATAGTGCAACCTCATTTGGAGTACTGTGTACAGTTCTGGTCACCACACCTCAAAAAGGATATTATAGCATTGGAAAAAGTACAGAAAAGGGAAACTAGAATGATAAAAGGATTGGAACACTTTCCCTATGAAGAAAGGTTAAAACACTTGGGGCTCTTTAGCTTGGAGAAACGATGGCCGAGGAGTGACATGATTGAGGTTTATAAGATTATGCATGGGAAAGAGCAGGTAGAGAAAGAAGTACTTTTCTCCCTTTCTCACAATATAAGAACTCGTGGGCACTCCATGAAATTGCTGAGCAGTCGGATTAGAACAGATAAAAGGAAGTACTTCTTAGCCCAAAGAGTGACATAACACATGGAATTCACTACCACAGGAGGTGGCGGCGGCTACAAGCATGGACAGCTTCAAGAGGGAATTAGATAAGCATACGGAGCAGAAGTCCATCAGTGGCTATTAGCCACAAGGTATGGACAGGAACTCTCAGTCTGGGGCAAGTGATGCTCTGTATTCTTGGTGCTTGGGGGGGGCAACAGTGGGAGGGCTTCTAGCGTCCTGGCCCCACTGCTGGACCTCCTGATGGCACCTGGTATTTTTGCCCACTGTGTGACAGAGTGTTGGACTAGATGGGCCATTGGCCTGATCCAACACTGGCTTCTCTTATGTATAAACCAAAATCTCAAGCTGAGAATTTAGTCCAATAGCTATAAGTTGATATCAAGAATGTATTTACAATGGCTGTCATACATTTTATTTATTTATTTATTTATTTTACAATATAGTCTGACTTTTTCACATGGATTTAAAGTGGATTACACATAGTGGCAATTTGAAATGCTAGGTAGTCGTGGCAAAGAAAAACTGGAACAGACCCGGAACGGCTTGGTTGCGGTATTCCCATTCACACCACAGCGAATGAAGCAGGAGGATACTATGGAGGAAGCGTATTCACACTGTTGGGCCACCCTGATGGGCTGTTAGCAGCTGTTTCCGCGCTGGGCTGCATGCACCCATGTGCATGGGCGCATGGGCACAGCAGCAAATAGGGTATGATCGCACAGGCCCCGATGGTGCCTGCCCGTGGAAACAGCCGGTGCTTATTATCAATTACTGGGGATTGTTCCCGCCTTAGCAGCGCTTGCGTTCACACTCAGGGACCTGGAATCAACCCGCTTTACACACGGTTTGCTACCACTTTCACCTGGTATCTTTTAAACTCGGGAGGGAAGCGGCACAGGACGGCTTGAGTACGGCTGGGGGACACCTGACAGATGTGCCTGTGTGAACCCGCCCCTTTAATCCGCTACTGAACCGCTACTGAAACGTTTGGCTGCTGGTCCAAACTGCCAGTCTGAACTCGGCCAGTGACTCAGTACAATCAACACAATGGGATATTCAATAATCAATGCATTAGGATATTAGAAGACTGGAACTCAAGGCAGATTGCAATTGGAAGATATTAAAACTTCAATGAACACAATAAATCGGATTGTAGTCCATCATCAAAACTAACAGCACAACATCCCACCATTACAACATCTCACTCCTGCAGAAAGTGATAATATCAACTGCAGAATGATAGCAGTGGAGGCCTTCTTCACATAGTCATTCCACCAAGTAAGAGGCTACCACTGAGAATCCTCAGGCACAGGCAGGCACAGATTTTACCAGCATGCAGGGTGGTACCTTCACAGTAAACCATTTACTCAAGTGGAGTTGCACAGACATAAATAAGGCTATTAAAAATCTTTCAAGTAATGCTGCTGCAGCTAAGCAAAACTATTTGATCCAATGGCTGAGCACATTAGCTGCTGCCACCACCACACCTCTTCGATTCAGCAGCACAATGAAAGTGGTAGCCCAAATGTCCACCAGTAAGCTGAGAAGAAGATGAGAGAACTGTCATGAGTCACTTTCCATCTAACACCAGAAGTAACATCAGGCTGTGGATCCCACAGAAACACTAATCTCACATATACCCATTCGGTCAGGAGAGTGTTTGAGAGTACCCTAGAGCCAGAGGTTACTTGGCCAGGAAGTCCCTTCAAAGCAGCAGCTGGAGCCCCTTCAATAGCCAAGTGCACCCCACAACCGTTGTTTTTCACTGAGGAAACTGGGCACTACAGTGACCCCAGTTACAGCACCATAAGAGATTCCAGAGTACTCTTACTCACTAGAGCAATACGACACAGGGTATAAACAAGCACAAACTAAAGCCCTAGAAAGGTGGTGAAAGTTCAAATCCTGGCTCTTGAAGAAGCTGCAAGGATTCAGCCAAGGGCAGAACCATGGATAAGCTTCTCCTGGTATACAGTACACAAGTCCTCTGCTGGTGCAATAGCTCCCTTGCTAGCTCGTAGCTCTCAGAATCTGGCTTGCTTGCAACTAGCTTTGGCTTGATACTGCCAATGAACTATCACTTGTTTGTGTCAAAATAAATTGCTCTGGTTTCCTGCTGTTGCAATATTAACCCTTTGCCTGACAGTGTCCAGCTAAGGTACCACCATCATATTAACCCAAGCTTGCTTATGTCCTACTTTATTGTTCCAGGCCAAGCCTAAGGAAGCTAAAGTTTTGACCCCATGGATTTTGGTCATGAATCAGAGTACAGCAACAGCAGCTGCTTTAGAGCTGCACTGTAGAAACAGAGTGAAGCTCTATGGCAGCTGTTTAAACTGCTTTACTCCTGTGCTGTTTTCAGTTCTCTGTATCAGGTGAATGTGCAAGTTAGTGTCTGCCATCCATCAGAGACTCTGAGACTCCGAGTGAAGGGCGGGGTATAGATCCAATATCTTCTTCTTCTTAATCCAGCACCATTAAAACACAGTACTCCTAAGAGAGTTGATTATCTCATCTCCTCTTCTGCCTTCTGGTTTAAGGGTGGAAGTCAGAAAGGGAGCCATAAAAGCAGCCACTCATATCATTTCTGTCTTTTCACAGTGCAGTGTGTTGAATTAGTACCAGGAATACCCGAGTAATACACAGAGTCAGAATACGCAGGTATCCCTGATGGGAACTGTGACTCAGTCTGATGGTTGTGCCACACAGGAACAGTTATGGGTTTTTGGAAACTTCATCCAACTCCCTGTCTCTCATGGAAACTGACAAGGGAAAAAGGAAGAAGGACAGGGATGGAAGTAGCTTTGGTGGAGCCCAGTTGTCAGGGTGAACTATCAGCCCAGCTGTACACAGTGAACTAAAAACCTCAAGTAATTATGGTTTTTGATCAGCAGGGCTAGAAAATAAGGGGGGAGAAATAAGGTAATTCCTAAAAGTTTTCTGTGAAACACCTTTTCTGTGTCCTATGTTACTCTACACCTGAATGTCATAAAAGAGGAGAGTGATAACGGTTGCTTTATGTAAGCAAGCTTAGAAATTGTACTCAGATAAGTGCCTTTGACCTAAATCATGTAGTGCCCAGATCCGACATATAACCCCACAAGTGTGAAATTCTGTGTGCGATTTAGCAGCTTGAAGCTGCCCACTGACCCAGCTATAAAAGAGTTAGATAAGGATTTAAAACCACGATATGATACAATTAGACATTCACCTCGTATTTATTTCCATATATTTTGGCATTTAACAGAGTTAACAGCTGCAAGATTTTTCGCTTAAAATGTATGTGCTTGCTTGCCATAGATGTGTATGTGATGAGCTAAATTAAACCTCTGAATGTTTTGAATTAGACCCCTTATGAATGAACAGATTAGTTCTGAGGAAATGGTAAACAGGAGAAGCTTCTATAAAGCTCTCCTAGACATGCAAAGATAAAGGATGGTTCTACCACGCAGAATAATCAGATACAAAAAAATAGCTATTTAGAAGCCGCATACCTAAGAGTACTTTAATCAAACATTTAGGTTACCTGCCAAAAGGACCATGATCTCTTCAAAATGCAATGCGGATTAAAGTGTTATCTAACATGAGCAGAAAACTAACCTTGGAGTGGGAGTTTGAAATGTGCTCATCATAATTTTCATGTCTTTGGATAGAGAAACCAGCTTTTTCAGCTAGATTGCAAAACTGGTTTAGAGTATTCCCTCTGAGTGGAGCAAATACCACTGCTTTTCCCTAGAATATTAAAAAGAAAATGTACACATTCATTTTAATATATATATATACATACATATATATATAAACTGTTCTAATGTAAACCAGATCAAAAATGAAAGACAACATTTATTGTTTTGTTGGGAAAATATTTATAACAGGAAAATGAATGGTTCAGACTATGCGGTTCTACGACAATGGAGGTTCAGATACACAGTTTCACAAACTTTTGCCCTTAAATATGATCAGAAATTTAGTTTAGTTTGTCTGTGCAAAAATAGTTATTTACATCAGATACACAAAAAACTGTCAAATTTTAAAGAAAATCTAGAAATATTTCATGCTTCATTTCCCTTAGGGTGGGGTTGCATATTGTCTGCTTCGTTTTTGGCATACTCTCAGGATGAACATTGGTCCCTCTAGGCCAATATTGCCTATTCCGACTGGTAGCAGCTCTCCATAGTTTCAGGCAGAGAGAATCATTTCTAACACCTCTGGTGCCTAAGATCCTTTACCTGGAGACACTGGAAACTGAAGCAACAACCTCCTACATGAAAAACATGTGCTCTGCCACCCAACTTCTACCATTCCTATAGATGAAGGTCCACAATGAAAACAGTTCTCTTATTAATTCAGCCTGCTCTTGGCTGTGTTCTAGAATACACAGAAAAAAAGCTATGTGTGACCTTTGCCAGACATGTGGCACTGGTACAGTTCAATAGTTGTCTACCAGTAAGTGACTGTAGAAGTTGGGCTGCAGTGGGGGAAAAAACCCTGTGTCGCCTTAGTCCTAGAGTTATCATAAGTACAAGATTAATTTATGTGGCAGTTAAATAGACACAAACTGGTTCACTTAGGCCCCGATCACACGCAGAGTTTGCCGCGGGAGAGCCACGAATGCCAGGTGGATTATATGGGCGCGATCGCACTGCCACATCTGGCAAGCGTGGCGCACCCGTGGCCAACCGGTATCGTCCAGCCGAAGATGTGGACTTTAAAAGTACCTTGGAAACCCCAGTAGTAAACGGTAGCGATGGGCTGCAGTCAGACGCTCTCTGTCTGATCACCCCAGCGCGCTCCTCTCAAGTCCCTGCTTCCTGGTTGGAGCGCACTGCAAACAACCACCCAAGGAAACAACGCCGTCACATCTGATTGCATTGGAGTGCGTCAGATTGTGATGGCACTAATAGCCACGCCTCCCCCCCCACGTTATCCAGCCCGTGTGACCGGGACCTTAGATAAGCTATGGGATCATCTAGAGCCTAGGAGGCTATTGCAATAACCATGCAAAGCCATAACCAGTGAATTACCAAGAAACAAAATACTGATATAAATCAAGTATTGAGGGGGAAATGCATTTAGTACTGCTGCTTTTCATGTATCACTTGGTGCAAACTCTCACTTCACATTCATCATAGGACACTCAATGTGTTTGGCTTTCTGCTTGCTTCTTTTCTATTTATAGAAGTCACTTTTTAACATTTCAGGCCACATTTATACTATGCTTAAAAATCAGTTTTAAACTAGTTTGGAGGTTCTCACCAGGAATCTAGACAATATTAGATTAGTAAGGATGCTGGAAGTTCTGTGTTGCACTTCATGCTTCATGCAATTAAATGGGCTCCAGGTCACAAAAGCTTATGGTGTTAGTCTTTAAGGTGCCACAAGGCTCCTTTCATTTCTTCTCATCTAGAATTCTCAGAATTCCTTATACAGAAGCTTGGCCATTTACATTTGTATTACAGATATGCCCTCTTCTGTCTCCACTTTCTGTCCCAGCTCAGGATGGGTTCAGTGAATAGAAATATTTTCCCCAAACCCTAGAGAAGAAGAAGTTGAATTTATACCCCACCCTCCATTCGGAGTCTCAGAGCAGCTTAAAAACTCCTTTCCCTTCCCCTCCCCACAACAGACACCCTGTGAGGTAGGTGGGGCTGAGAGAGCTCTGAGAGAACTGCCCTTTCAAGGACAGCTCTGACAGAACTATGGCTTGCTGTATAGAAATATTATTTCTAAATTCTCATGCCTTCTTCCTGTGATGACATTCTGTGTGTCTTTTTTCCTGCTACAGGCCAGATGGCCTAGTGTGATTTCTGTCACTTGACCAGATGGCTGAGCCACCAAATAGCCATGCCATATAATCATGCCAGATACCCACATTCCTTAACACCTCTCTGCTGAGGACCAGACTTGAAGGCTCCTATTGTATGGCCTACATGGGCCATGTCATGTACGCAATGGAGAAAGCTGGAAGTTGGATCACCTGACTGCAGGCAGGGCCTCTAACTTTTTAGCCAATCCCTACACACCTGATGTTGGCAGCGATGGCAACCAGAAATGGGGCACACCCCCCTGCCGCTCGTGATTGACTGATGATCACAGCTGATGGTGACTGGCATGGGGTATAACTCCATGGTTCTTTAGGGAAGAGCTCTCTTGCTCCTGCGATCCTGACTTTTGAAACAAAGAGCTTCTTTGTGAACTGATTGCCGGTTACCACCCTTCTGTTACTGTGGATCTGTATCTCTGAGAAGTCCTGGACTTCTCTTCAAAATCCCTTGGTGCCAACCAGTACTGTTATGCAATGGACACTCTTGGACTATCTGATGCTACACTTAACTCGATAACTATGATTATTATTAATGTGCAGTAAGGGCAAATAGCCATAGGTTGTTATTATTTTTGTATCCTCTATTAGTCTCTTGCTATGCTTTGCACTGAATAAAGATCATTCATAATTGTAATTGTCTCTGATGCAATAATTGAACTCCAGGGCTAAGTCTCGTGTCTAGGCGCTGACCACAGAGCTACCATTGTGAGAGTAATTGTGTGCACCTCTGAGTTAGAGTTTGTGATGTGTTAAATCCCAGATGCCAGCTAAGAGATTGAATCTCTGCTCTTAGGCTGGGTGGGAATCCCTTGGAAGAGATTCTGGTAGCAAACTGTTGTGAATCCTAGAGAGAGTACAGACTGTCTCGTGGATTTTGTTTCATGTGCTGAAATATAGGATTCCCTCTCATCCCTGGACTGGGCTGAGTGGGTTTAATCCTGTACACTTGCCCAAGGTCATCCAGCAGCTGCAAGTGGAGGAGTGGGGAATCAAACCTGGTTCTCCCATATTAGAGTCCGCGCACATATGACGCCATCGTACGTTGATTCTTGCTCTCCAGGGTCCAGATGGAGATCTTTCACATCACCTACTACCTGGACTAGAGATGCCAAGGACTGAGTGCTTGTCTGTCTGCCAAGAGACTCTTGTCATGGGGCAGAGCTGCTACCAACTACTCTGCCCCGTCCCCTCCTTGTACATTATTTTGTTGATGGCAGAGGGTAGATTTGTTGTTAATTTGGTTTAAATATTTTTAGTTTTCTGTTGTGTGTGTGTGGGGGAGTAATATTGTAAGTGACTTTGAGACCACACTGAGTGGAGAAAAGGGGATTAAAGTACCCCAAACAAAAACAAAACTAGGATCATCTGCATTGAACGCAGATACTCTACCAATGAGCCATGGCACTGCCCCACCAAATATAGAATGGCTTTTTACAATCCCAGTTCTTCAGTTTGGGAATCCTACCACACTTCCGATGACATCATCAGGAGTCCAATGAGGCTTCTGAAGGCAAACCACAATTTCTCAGTTCTACTAACCTGGCATGGAGCACTGTTGATAGCAGGAGAGAGAAAGGAAACACTGGTGTGTTCCCTGGGAGCCCACCCTTCTTGGTGCATAGAATGCCACCATCACTGTGTATATATCTGGCAAAGGGATCCTGGGAAATAAATTTTCTCAAAGTGCCATAATCATATGGACTTCTCAGCACTTGTTTCCCCTGCAATGTGCAGCCCCAGGTGGCATGGGCTAGAGGGTATACTTTGAGGAGATCCGAGAGTACCCTCTAAAATACAGACTTGGCTAGTGGTAACCTTTATGTCTGCTGATTGGTAGTGTCCACACCGAGCTTCTCTTGCTTTTTTGTGGATTGGTAGTGTCCAGCAGAGTTCTGTGGATGGAATTAAACTTTTGTGCCCTCCCCATGAAATGCTACTCATGGGAGACAGGAACTGGCAATTAAACACACCCTATTCCACTGACAGATAAGCTTTCTGTCAATGGATAACTACCTTTGGATGAAACCCTAGGTTCTAATCTGTATTACTACTAGTACTGTAAGAACAAAACAGTTCCCTGGTACAGCTACCCTCTTGCGGAACTGTATATTATCTCTAAGATATATTTCTGTCTAAAAAGGAATGGAAGCATTTTGCTCCATAAATAGCATCACCCCACTCTTCCTGAGAAGAGAGCACAATACACATTAGATCATCTGCACTCAGAGAAAAGGCAGTAATGCAAAGGGTGCTAAAAATGAATATGATGGCAAAATGAAACTCAGACTGGGAAAATACAAACATTAATTATCTAGGAAGAAAGATGGTTAGAAACACATACAAGGACAATGCTGGAAAACTCAAAATGTGTGGAGACCTAGATGCAACTATGTAATATAAATTATGTATGAGCTTACAATACAGTACAGCTAATGTGTTTTAGTTACATTCTTCAAGACATGGAAACAACAACTTGTGAAGCACAGAGGTCAACATCTCATTCAAGATACAGTAAACAGAAAACCACTTTATCATCTTGTCCCTTTTTGGGCCTCACATCATCTTTGCTCAGGAAATATAAGGGAGTATAAGTGGTCCTGCCAGGGCTCAGATGCCAGCCAAGCAAACCACACTGGGATTGCATTTCCAGTCATGTTCATGGCATAGAACAGTTCAGGATCTAATGCAAAGGTTCCATAAGGGCTTACTGTTCAGAGAATCAACAAAGTTCATTGCTTTCCAAAGTTCACTAGTCAGGGTACCAAACTTTGCAATGCAGGGCATGTTGAAAATAAGTTCCCATCTACAGTATATCTTTATATTGCTTCTTCTCCCAAAGAATCCTGGAAATTGTAGTACTAAGAAGTGTCCCTTGGAGGAACTTTGACATAGACTAAGTCTACAGTATGGACACCCCACAAGTGTTTCAGGGATTAATCATACAGAGAAGTCACACAAGGGGGGGAAATGAAGCAAACTAAGGCAGAAATGGAGGAGGAGGAGGAGATTGGATCTATACCCTGTCCTTCACTCGGAGTCCCAGAGTGGCTTACAATCTCCTTCCCTTCCCCTCCCCACAACAGACACTCTGTGAGGTAGGTGGGCCTGAGAGAGTTATGAGACAATTGCTCTTGAGAGAACAGTTCTGAGAGAACTTGTGACTGACCCAAGGTCACCCAGCAACTGCATGTGGAGGAGTGGGGAATCAAACCCAGTTCTCCAGATTAAAGTCTGCCACTCTTAACCACTACACCAAACTGGCCACATGATGGTTAGTTTTTAAGGTGTATTTGCATCCAATAGTCCCCCTTGCCCCCAGTCCTTTTTTTAAAAAGTCATTAACTTTTTATTAATTTTTCATTATTCATTACAATCCATTAAACTTCATAGAACAACAGTTTTCACTATTTCAAAATTCAAACATCAGAGAAGATTATTACTAAAACAGCAGGGGTTGATGGTAAAAATACAACTTTTTTGGAAAACATAAAACAGTAACTTTTTTGTGCACAAACAATTCGTTGAAATATTGGTAACTGAAAGTCATCCCAGGTTGGCCATGTGAGGTGTGAAATTTAGCCTAGTGTTACACAACCAGCGTATTGAAGGTGTAAGGTGATTGGGGAATGTGTTGTTTAAGTGTAGAGTAATTTAAGGTAAATCTATTTATGTGGTTGAATGTCTTTCTTGGTGATCCATTCAAAAAAAGAAAACCATTTCGCATAAAAGGAAGTCTTCTTGGGAAACCGATCTACGCATTGGATGTGGTCTGTAATTTTCTCTATTATAAAGAGATCCCAGACTTTTGAGAACCAGTGTTCAATCGTAGCGGCGAGATGGGACTTCCATCTGGAGGCAATGCAGGATCGTGCTGCAACTATCAAGCTCAGTATGAGGTCTTGTCGAATTGATGGGATTTGGAGGTCTTGCCAGATGTTAAGAAAGAGTATTTCTGGTTTTAGTGCTACGTCATAACCAGTAATGATTTTGATTTGTCCAAGAACTTCTTGCCAAAAAGGGTTAATAGTTGGGCATTCCCACCAGCAATGGGTGTAGGATCCAATATTACCACAATTCCTCCAGCAAGTTTCTGGGGGGTCAGGTACCAGCGAGTGATAATTTTATATCATTGCAGTTGCATACTGATGATTGGCAATGGGAGTGTGGGTGAGGATCAGACTTGATCCCAGAGTTTATCCGTAATCATGCAACCGCATTCCGATTGCCATTTGTTTTTGTAGGGTAGGTCTGTGGTGCTGTGAAGACAAATCAGGATGTTGTAAGCCTTGGAAATTAGCCCTTTAGATGTATTTCCAGTAGAATGTAGTATGTTTTCAAATATAGATTTAGTAGATTTTTGAGGAGAGATAATTTTAAGAGTAGACAGTACATGATTGAGTTGCATATAGAAGAACCATGGGATGGGGGAATATAACTTTTGTTCTAAGATTTGCTTCGGAAGAAGGCCTTCTGGGCTCATAATATCTGTGATGCGCGTCAGACATGCGTTTCTGAATTTCTGAGCCATAGCGATATCGTTCCCTGGCGGAAACCAGCTCTGAAATAAGAATGCAGATTTGCTTAGAGTTTTTCGGAAGAAGGCTGTGTCTGAGAGCATCCCAGGTTCGGAGTATGGCTGACACGAAGACATTAGAGTGGATTGATTTAGGCCGAGATTGAGGTTCATTCCAGATCATTTTCTGGATAATTTTGGGATATAGCAGTGGAAAAAGTGGTTGGGCCCAGGTAGCTTTGTCACCATAACATAGCAATGTTATTACTGAGACAAGCATAGTAGATTTGTAGTATAGTGATAGATCTAGGTAGTTGAATTCACCCTGAGCTTGTCTTCTTCTAAGGATTTTGAAGCTTGTCCTCTTGCCCCCAGTCCTACCAAAACCAGCAGTGTGCTGGTCTGCGCTTTTCAGTTTAACCAGGTGAACTGGATTCATACCTATCGTGGGTTTACAACTATGGGAAGCTAGGAGCATTGCTGGCTGAGATTATCAATGTCATTCTTCAACAAAAGACATCACCTTTCCTAACTATTTCATCAAAGAAGCTGGGCTGATGCAGGAGGGAGAAGAGGGTGATTTCACCTTTCCTCCCTTAGTACAACCCCAATCCCAGGTGACTTTTAGTCCACATGGGTCCCAGGAACCTAGGAATCAATTTTCTGAGGACTGGAAAGGACTGCTGCAGGGAGGGGATCGAGATCTATATCCATCATACCACCTGTTGATGGATTGTTATATGCAGTCCACTATATTGTTTTAAAGTTATATTGGTTGTTGTTGTTGTTCAGTCGCACTGTTGAGTCCGACTTTTCACGACCCCATGGACCATTTCATACCAGGCCTTCCTGTCTTCCGCTGTCCTATGGAGTTTGCTCAATTTCGTGTTCGTTTCATTGATAACACTGTCTAACCATCTCATCCTTTGCTGTCCCCTTCTTCTTTTATCTTCAGTCTTTCCCAGCATCAGGGTCTTCTCCAGTGAGTGCTCCCTTCTCATTTGGTGGCCAAAGTATTTGAGCTTCAGCTTCAGTATCTGGCCTTCCAGGGAACAGTCAGGGTTGATTTCTTTTGGAATTGACTGATTTGATCTCTTTGCAGTCCAAGGAACTTTCAAGAGTCTTCTCCAGCACCATCATTCGAAATATTGCTTTTATTGATAATCTATGTGTGTTATTGATGTTGTATTGTTTTAGCTTTGTTGCACACTGCTTTGAAATGTTAAAAAAATCTTAGAAACTGGTAAACAAACAAATAAATATGGGAATATGCCCAATTAATAAGCCCCAACAGGAATTAATTCCAAATCATCATACATAGGACTGGGCTGCAAATATTGCATATAATATACCCAGTTCTGGCATATATAAATGCAGAACTGGTTTTATATGTTTTGTAGAATTTATTGTGTACTGTGGTTTGTAATTTGTAAGCACTTGGCTTACTGCATTAGAAAAGAGAGAGGGAGAAGGAAAAACAAAACAACCAGAGTTTTAGGCTATGGATCAATCTAAGGGTTTTATTCATTTAATATAAGCAGCACTGAAAGGAATTAAAAAAATAGCACTTTATAATAAATAAATACACAATGACAAAGGTTACCATTGATGGGATTACAAATGACAGAAGCCAACATAAAAACTTTCAATATCAGAATTTTACTTTAATATGAAGACATTGTTATCAAAGGAAAATACTCAAGAAACGCTTTGATAAAAATAATCTCACACTATCTTTGAAGCGGTTTCATTTATTTTACTACCCACTGTGTTCCTTATCAGAAGGCCAAGTATAAGAAGTTTCCCAGTTTATGATTAGGAAGGAATCTGATAGATTAGAAGACTCAATTGAAGTTGGACATAATAAGTATTAAAGTATTACATGACATTAATCCTGCCATTCCATTACTCTCTCAATCATTGTGCACAGACTAATTATTCTGAAGCCCGTGTTCAGGAGAAAATAGAAACATACTTACACTGGGCTGGAGTAATCTCTTTATTGCATCCACAAGGCTAGCTCTGTACTGGTCCAGAAACAGGCTGACATTGAGAAGAGAAGAGAATCCAGATTAAAAAGGGGTTTCAGTTCTAATGATACTAATGCAGATAAGTACAAGGCTAATTACATATGTTTACACTTTGCTGTGAAGGAGACATTGAGGTCTAAATTCCTTCATGTTCATGCACTTGTTTAACAAACAAAGACCAAACTGTGTAGCATGTAACCATTTGTTTTAATCTCACGCCTCAGCCAGAAATGTTTCTCTATGGAATAAGAATGATTAGCCAGTGATTAGTGGCTTTTATCTAGATAGCTGGGATTTCAGAAATAGGATCGATACTATAATGTAATGTAAAAGCAATAGGCTGGCACAGACCAACATACTAACTCTCATGAAAAACCTTTACTTGGGGCGGTCATTTTTTAAATACCTGCCTCCTCTGCTATTTCTTGTTCCCTGGTACAACCAGAGAATCCACATTTGGGTATTAAGGTGAGAAAACTTGGGGCTGGATCCAGCCAGCCTTTTCACTCTGTGTCATCCAGTTCTCCTTACTACAGCCACTGTTCCACACAGCTTCTGTATGGACAAATACTCTGACCCGATCACAGTGTTTTCTGAGTTCAAAGAGGACCTCTTCGTCCTCTTTGTCTCCTCCCACCTATCCCTTCTGGTGCCAGTGTTTTCTGAGTTCAAAGAGGACCTCTTCGTCCTTTGAACACAGCTCTTTGTCTCCTCCCACCTATCTCTTCTGGTGTGACTCAGCTTTTAAAATGAGACACTATTCATTCAGCACTAAAACAAAGAAGGCAGTTGATGCATCTATAGGACTGACTGTTGAAACAGCTACCCTGGTGCAGAATGTGTGAAAATCTGAGCAGACTGACTGTTGAAACAGCTACCCTGGTGGATGTGCAGAATGTGTGAAAATCTGAGCAAAAGCAGCAAGAAAGATAGTGTACATGTGAGTGTGCATGTACATGTGTGGAAGGGCAGCATCTGGAGAAGATATACCAGTTGTCCACCTAAACTGTAGAGCAGGCATGATGGAAAAGGCAATTTTTAATTTAAAAACTCCCACCCTCAGCTGAATCCCATATTCTTTACACCCATTGTCTATGAACTAATACAAGCATCTCTACAGCATGAATACATGCTTATATTTTATAAGCTATCATGTCTGATCTTTTTATTTTGCATGTAATGTGGCAGCCAAGTATCACAGTTTCATAGCTGGTGCTTCAGACATGATTTCCAGTCGTTCACTGTTCACCGTCATTTACAGTTTTGCACAGCTTCAATAAACAGCAAAGCTGTCATGCGCTAAAACACATTTATTAGGGAGGAAATGTCCTTCCTTCCACACCATCAGATTTCCTTGAAAATGAGTGGAAGCAACTAGATCGCAAATGAACGATGCTATTTCTCAAAACTCAGTGAGCTCTCATGCACATTGTTGGTGTGGTCTGTTGTATGTACTTGGACAATATGCAGTTAGTGCTGATTTCACTGTGAGCTTTGAAAGGAATTCAGATGTGGGCTTGTACAATTCATGGGTGCCAGGCTTCAAGCTATACCTCTCTGTAAATGGATGGACTGATGCCTGAAATAAATGTATACCTGCAAACTGCACAAAAATCAAAGAGACAGAGATACGTTTCTTGGGTAAAATCCAATTGATTTCCCCCATCCCCACAAATTTATCTTTGCTATTCAGATGGCTTTGTTCTTTTAAAAGCTGGATGCCATCAGCTTTTTTTATGTTTGCAGTATCTTTGAAGCAGAACCTTCAGTCTATTGTATTGTAGCATCATTGTACTCTTATAAACCTCTTCAGTTGCTGCTATCACAACCATAAAAGCACTTATGATCCCAGTATCCTGCATGTCATGTGGAAGCCACATATTTAATGTATTGCTATGGACAACTGTTTATAAGGCACAAAACACCAGAATAATTTGCCATGGATTGCTGGATCTTGTGATGGGATGCACAGAGGCAGAGGCTTACAGGTGGGGCCAGGATCCCAACGTTGGCTTATAGTTACCTTTGGAAATGCTGATTGACCTAGTTTAAACACAAAAGGGCTGCTGAGCCAGTATGAAGGGCATCAGGCAAAGCAAAATCCCCTGTCCCCTCTACACAGGTTCTGGTGAACTTTTATGGCTCATAGGAGCTGCAAAGAGTAGTGTAAACCCAAGTGTGCCATGAACAAAAGAGGAAAGAAATGGGGCACCTTGGTAAGCAGAAGGCAGGGGGCCACCTCTTTGCCCATTTGAATGGCACATAATCATGGTTCAGCTCCAGTGACCTGTTAGTCAGGGTTTGAGCTGCTGTCAAAGAAGTCCCATGTCTTTCCCTGTTTGCTCTATTTTCAAGTGAACATGTGGACTTGCCCTAAAGGTTAGTCTTCCTTTCACCCTACTCTGCATTTTTTCACTGATGCCTCCAGTCTCTAAACACACAACATACTTGTATTAAAATAACTTTCTTAATCTTTATATTAATGTTGCCTGGCGCTTGCTCTACAACCATCTATTTGGGAATTTTTTTCACAAACACATGATATTTTAATAGTAAAAAAAACTTCACCAATTCCCAGTGGTAAACTAATGACCAGCTATTTCAGCTTGCCTCTTATTTTATAATCAAACTGATACATTACATTGAGATACGTAGTAATACACT